CACAATTTTTGGTTTCGTTCCGTGCTATGTCCACGAAGGATCGATAATACAGAGTAATGTGCACATTGATGTATAATATACATGTATAATATCTCAGGCTTCTCTCAGGCTTCTCTCTGCCTAGAGAAAGCGTCGTACGAAAAACGACGGCATGGCCCCTCTCAGGCTTCTCTCTGGTTATAACATTAATCCATTAAGTGGCAATAATTATGAAGCCTGGAAATTTCGAGTTAAAACAATATTGACAGAACACAATGTAGAAGATATGATACTCGTTAAATACAGTGATGAAAATTATGATACATCAAAGCAGAAAGAAGAAACCAAAAAGAAGGAAAATAAGTGCAAATCTATACTTGTACAATATATTGATGATACGCAAATAGATATTATTAGAGATAAAGAAACAGCATATGATATGTGGATAAGTTTACAAGAGGTATATGAAAAAAAGAGTTTGTCTGGAAAAATATTTCTTAGAACGAAATTAATGTCAATGAAATGTGTGAAGCAGAAAAGTTAGAAGACTTTTTATTAAAATTCGACCGTGTTTTATGTCAGCTGAAATCGGCAGGTGCCGATATAAAAGAAGAAGATGCTATTTGTACACTGCTTCTCGCATTACCAAAATCATATGAGACAGTGGTAACCGTCCTTGAGAACATGGCAGTCGAGACGTTGGACTTAAATTACGTAAAGGCAAAATTAAGAATAGAGTCTGAGAAGAGAAAGGAAAATAATGGAGATCGAAATGAATCAATAAAGGAAGCTGCATTTATGTCTAATATAAAATGTCACAATTGTGGTGAGAGTGGACATATTAAGAAATACTGTAAAAAGACATCCCAAATTCAACCAAGTTATAACAATACTCAAGAAAATACATTCCGGGGAACTAGAGGTAGGAGAGGTATGAATCAAAGCAACACGAACCTTGGGAATGCTACTAACAGAAGAGGTCATCGAGGTTGGAATCAATCAAATCACAGACGCACCAACTACAACCAACAAATGAGAAGAGGAGACTATGTTGAAACGGATAAGACTCGCGAAGATAGTATATGTTTTATAAGTAATAGGAATGATAGCATGGAAACCGTAAGAAATGAAAATATTTTGTTTTTTGTTGATTCGGGATGTACCGATCATATGGTAAATGATAAGGAATATTTTAGTGACTTTATGACATTAAATGAACCAATAAGAATAGCAGTTGCTAAAGATAAAAATTATCTAGAAGCGGTAGGTGTTGGAAATATTAATGTTTACAGTTACGTAAATGGCAACAAAATTAAATGCACGATTAAGAATGTTTTTTATATTCCAAATCTAAAGAAAAATCTATTATCTGTTAGAAAGTTAGAAATGTTCAGTATAAAAGTAGTGTTTGAAAGAGGTAAAGTAAAATTATTGGATGGAAATAGATTGATTGGCTTGGGTCTCAGAAATAATTTGTATGAAATATGTTTTAAAGTACTGAAAAGTGAATGTTTGAATACTGATAAAGAAGAAAAACTTAAGTTATGGTATAAGAGATATGGTCACATAAGTCATTCATATTTAAAGAAGTTAATAAATAATGATATGGTTGATGGTATTGAAAAATTAAAGTTAAGTAAAGTAGAATTTTGTGAATCATGCGTAAATGGAAAAATGACAAAGCTACAATTTGGAACGAGAAAGAAAAGTAAACGTATTCTAGAAATAATACATTCAGATGTTTGTGGTCCGATTGATCCAGTTTCACATAATGGTGATAAATATTTCGTTACATTTATAGATGATTATTCAAATTTTATTTGTGTTTATATGATTAAAGCCAAAAGTGAAGTATTTAGTTGTTTTAGAGAATATATACAAATGGTACAAACTAAATTTAATAAACGAATAGCCGTTTTGCGATGTGATAATGGCAAAGAGTATGTTTCAGGTGAAATAATACGTTATTGTAAAGAAAACGGCACTGTTATTGATTATACAATACCATATACTCCCCAGCAGAATGGTAAAGCTGAACGTTATAATCGCAGTCTAGTGGAAAAAGCAAGATCAATGATAAATGATTCAAAGGTACCACGACATTTTTGGAATGAAGCGGTAAGAACAGCGGCATATATCTTAAATCGTAGTCCAAGCGCAAATCAAGAATCAATTACTCCTGCTGAATTATGGTATGATAGGAAACCAGATGTTAGAAACTTGAGAGTTTTTGGTGCAATGGCGTATTCACATGTGCCAGGACAATTTAGAAGTAAATTTGATAAGAAATCTGAAGAGTGTATAATGATGGGGTATGTAAATAATGGTTACAGATTATGGAATGTCAAAAAGGAAAAAATTCAAACTTCTAGAAATGTAGTATTTAATGTGTGAAGATATTTTCTATTATAAAAAAATCGGAAAAGTAACATTGTCAGAATCAAAAATGTAGATGCAAATAGTGACGTAGATGATGATAATGATGCAAATTTAGAAACTGAAGAATCAGAAACTGAAGAATTAGAACCACAGAGAGACGAAAATGTAAAGATTAAAAGTAAAAGAAATATAAAGCGTTCAGAAAAATTTAATGATTACGAAATGTATATGGCTTTCGATGCTATGTCTTTTGTAGAAAATGTTCCAAATGATTATGATGACTTAAGAAACAGAATAGATAAGAACCTGTGGGAGGATGCAATGAGTAGAGAAATAGAATCTATAATTAAAGCGAATACATGGAAGTCAATGGTTGAACCTAAAAATGTAGAAATATTGGATACAAAATGGGTATATAGTTACAAACTATTTGAAAAAGATAAGTTAGATCAATATAAGGCGAGATTAGTTGTAAGAGGTTTTGTGCAAAAGAAAACATTTAATTATGATGAATTATATTCACCCGTTGCAAAGATGGCCACTATAAGAACTTTGTTAGCTATAGGAAATCAACTTCAATATCGTTTTATGCAACTAGATGTTAAAACTGCATTTTTACATGGGAATTTGAAGGAAAATATTTATATTTATCCGCCTAAAGGTGTTAAATATAAAACTGGCCACGTGTTCAAGTTAAACAAATCGCTCTATGGACTAAAACAATCGTCCAAATGTTGGAACAATAGAATTAATGATTTTTTATTAAGTCTGAATTTTCAAAGATCAAACAATGATTACTGCTTATATTTTAAGAAATATCAAAAAGAAAACTGTTTACTTATTACTGTATGTTGATGATATAATACTGGCAGGTCCAAATTTAAGTTGTATAGAATACTATAAAGACAAATTAACTCAAGAGTTTAATGTGAAAGATAAAGGAGTACTTAAAAATTTTCTTGGCTTAGAAATAGAGTATGATAAAGTAAATGGTATATTAAAAATTAACCAAAAACGATATTTGCTAGGAATTTTAAGAAGATTTAATTTTGAAAACTGCGAACAGTGTGTAACACCTATTGAATCTAAATTAGATTTAACTGAATTTGAAAGTGATAAAACTACAGATAAACCAGTGAAAGAATTAATAGGCTGTTTAATGTATTTAATGTTAGGTTCACGTCCGGATTTAAGTTTTGCCGTAAACTACTTTAGTAGATATCAGGATAAATATCCGAATGCCGTGTGGCAACATCTCAAAAGAATATTAAGATATCTTAAAGGGACAAAGAATTTAAGTTTAGTTTATATTAGAAAAGAAGAGAAGCATCCATTAGTGTGTTATGTAGATGCAGATTGGGGAGGAGATGTACATGATCGGAAATCAGTGTCTGGATACTTAATTAAAGTGTTTGGTAATATAGTATCTTGGACCACTAAGAAACAAAATTGTATCGCGTTATCAACGACTGAAGCTGAACTTATAGCGTTATGTAATTCTGTTGTTGGATATAGAGAAAGTAAACCGCGTGCAAGTATGTAAAAGTATTTAATAAGTTTGATTCAAATATACTTAATTTGCTCAAGCACTACACGTATAGTTTGTTTAACTGCATCCTAAAGAAATAATTCTCATATATATTCAAGATTTATCTTCTGAAAATATGTAAATATTGAAATATAATGTCATTACATCATCACTACCAATAAAAAACAGAATATTAGGATAAATTGGTTCGGCAGGCAACGTAATAAAAACAAAATTCTAGAACAGTGCTCGGAACAGTTTAATTGTGCATTTCAGCCAATTTCCGAGGATGTGAAAAGACTTTCCGCGGACACGTGTGGATAAAATTGCATGTAGGAAGGCATGTGGGGTGTGCGTGCTTGCGCAGTAATTAACGACTCCAAACCACCTCTGCTGTGTGTGGGTGTGTGCGTGTGCGTGCGTGTGTGTGCGCGCGCAAGATCGAGGATGTAAGCTTTTTATTTGTTTAACTAAGTTATTTAACTAAGGCTGTATAGAAAGGTTTATATTAATTGTTCAAAATGTGCACCAACTGTTTGACAACAGGCTATCCGATGATAAAAAGATGAAACGGCATTTTGAATGTAATTATGAGGGATAAGAGCAGCTTCCTGAAGAATCCGTATTTTGTAATTCATCCAGATTTTGTAGTTTTGTTTTGACGGTGCACATTTTGAACAATTGATATAAACCTTCCTATACAGCCTTAGTTAATTACATTCTCGGTCTTGCGCACGCGCGCGCGCGCACGCACGCACGCACGCACACACACAATCACACACCCCATACACACACACACACACACACACACACACACACACACAACAAAG